TCATATGATTCGTATTATCAGCAATCTATGCTAAACAGTGCATCGCGACAGGTATCAGCCCCTTAATAATAATATGGTAAAATTTTAATTTGATACAGTCAAGAGCTTAAAATATGACTCAAGAAAATTCTATGTAACATTATTTAAATTTTGACAGCTACGAGCCAAGACACAAGTGTCCCATTTTTCAAGACTCAATCATCCAGCCGATCAAATAATCGGACTAGTAAATCAAGTTACTCAGGTCAATTTTGGTTAGTGAAAACCATCATCATTATTATGATGGGATCTGATTATCCATTTTAACACATCCTACCAATAGTTCTAATAGTTGCTGCATTTGTGTAAACTTTTTTCTTCCACAATGTCTTGGATGTCCCAGCAACATCTGCAGGTCTTGTGTTTCAACCGCCGCCGGCATGCGTAATGTGAACAAGAGAGCAAGATCTTCTTTTGTATTTCGGTATTATCTGGAATATTTTGAGACGTTGTATGCAGTAGTCTCTAATGACATATCATAAAGAACACTTTTCATTTATGGATCAGGAGCCGTCAGTTTTGATTAACAAATATTTTTTTTAAGAATAAAATTTAAAATATAGGATTATTTAATATAAATATTTTTTTTACTTGTTTAATTTCCAAATCATTAATAAAAATAACAATAAATACAAGTTTAATAAAAAAAATTATCATTTAATTAAAAAATAACCCCCCACAAAATTTTTTTTATTGGAAAATTTCTAACCTAAGGATTTTTCTTTCCGTTAGACTTACAGATGCATGTGCCCCTGCATTCCTTTGTTACATGTCTTTAATAGAAAGAATTTTTAACTTTTATGGAGTATAGAAAAGAAAGAGACTCCATTGATTAAAAACCAGATATGTCAATTTCATTAGCATGTCGTTTCCATAAGGAGTAGAGGAACACCGAAATTCCGGAGTGTCGGACACCAAATAACGGAAAAATACATGTCAATGTATAATGCTACACAAATGTTTTTATAAGCATCGAATTCAAAATTTACGATCTTCTAACTGAAAGTTCAGAAAGATGAGTTCTGCTGGAATAACATCTGGTAAATACTCCTGGGCAAACTTTTCTCACACCAGTACACGTATTATTAATTCTTCCACCTAAAATTATTTGTTCTTAGGATTCGACAATACTCCTGTAACGAAAGGTTTATTACTTTGTGTTGGTGGCTGTTCAGCAGTTGCATATCTTTTAGATTGCCGATCCTCAGTTCACCTACAACTCATACCCAACTTAACATCTCAGCGTGAGGTAGTTCTCGTTGTTTATTAAAATTCTACGAAAACCTAGTTTCAACTTATACTTGTTACGATTTCCATTCTAGTTTTGGCGTCTGATAACGACACAGTGTGTCGCCACGACCACGGGCGAATTTTTTTTCGGAAGTCTAGTTTTATTTCAACTAAGAGTAATTGAACGTCAATTCGGATCATCTAAATATGCGGTAGATATTATGATCATAACCAAGTCTGATTCATTGTATGCTGAATATTTCATAGTAATCTCTCTGTGTAGGCATTTTTTTTCGTGACATCCGCTTTATCGACTATGTTTGAAATTGGTGCACTAGCTGTTGGGAATAAGTTTGGATTGACATCAATACCGGCTGGACCTTACGGGTTCATATTTGCCGCTCTTTATCAATTCTATAAATTAATCCCACCCAGCTATCATTATAAATTTCTCGGAATTAATA